GTATTAATAGTAACCGTCGAGGATATATATTGAACGGGGCGCTACAGTGGCAATGCATTCAGTTCATATCTAATAGTGTAAATGATTTTTTGTGTGTGTGTTAGATCGTTCATGCATGGTTGCACTGTCATGCGTGTAGTTCAGTTACAGCTTGAATGTGTCACCTGTTCATAGTTGTGATATGGTATGGTATTTGGATTTAAGGGTGGCTTGGACCTTTTATAGTTGTGATTCGTTGTTGGGGGTTGCGTCCCTCGAGCGTGCCATAATCCTAAGATCGAGGGTTCTAATTCTTGGATCAAAACGGGATTAAACCACTCACTAGCCGGAGTCGTTTAAGACCGACCTCGAGGGTCGCGACAATGACTTAGGCTGCACCAACCCGCCACCTCCAACTAACTCATGCACCAACTACCCATCCACTCAACAACTAATTTACCCACTTAGCCAATCACTCACTTATCAATCTACCCACTCACCAACTAGCTCTTCCACCCACCTACCCACTCACCCACTCACCCACTCACCAACTAGCTCTTCCAGCCACCTATCCACTCACTCACTCACCAACTAGCTCTTCCACCCACCTACCCACTCACTCACCAACTAGTTATTCCACCCACCTACCCACTCACCAACTAGCTCTTCCACCCACCTACCCACTCACCAACTAGGTCTTCCATCCACCTAACCCACTCACCCATTCACCAACTAGCTCTTCCACCCACCTACCCATTCACTCACTCACCAACTAGCTCTTCTACCCACCCACCTACCAACTCACTCACTCACCAAGTTACACCAACTAGCTCTTCCGTCTACCCACCTACCCACTCACTCACCAACTCACTATATCGATGCTCATACTGTTGATCACTGGATTGTCTGGTCCAGACTCGACTGTGTACAGACCGCAGTCATATAGCTGGCATATTGCTGAATGTGGCGTTAAACAACAAACAAACAAACAAACTGACTGACCAACTAACTCATCGCCCCCTACCCACTCACTCACTCACCAACTAACTCATCGACCCCTACCCACTCACGAGTCACTTCACCTCTACTCATGTCTGTGATCGTGGGTCTGACCACTGTGGCCTGCATCCCTTTGAGGTTTTGTCCCAGATAGTTGACAGAATACGATAAAAGCTGAAATAGTGTTCATTCATTCACCTATCTATCCACCCACATGAAGCCGCGTTCAACATACTCTGTGAAATGTAGACCGAAAGAATTATATCGATGTGACATACTATCTCATAACGTCACGTGACCCTGTTAAGCCTCTGCATACCGTCCCATTGTCGATGTTGAAATATATACGTTGACAGTGAAACGCGGAACGGGGCGAAACCTTTGAAAGGTACGTTGTCGATATGGGTTATGATGATTTATAAGTGATTTTGTTAACCTGATTTATGTTACGATCTGAAAAGATATTGCTTTATTTATGTATGAAAGTTCCAATATTTGATGAAACCACTGGTGTTCGTCCTGCAAACTGTGAATACAATGTAATATCAATATTATACATGATATTGTGGAGAGAGAGAGAGAGAGAGAGAGAGAGAGAGAGAGAGAGAGAGAGAGAGAGAGAGAGAGAGAGAGAGAGAGAGAGAGAGAGAGAGAGAGAGAGAGAGAGAGATGTTATGACTCACCTTGAAACTACAGTCGCCACGATACAATGTATTTGATGTGAAACATTGTGTGACGTCAGAGAGAGAGAGAGGTGAAATGGGGTGAAAATGGGTTTAGCGTCGTGCTTGAGACTATTTCGCTCATATGACGACGTGCATGCGTGTGTATGTGTATGTGCGGCTGCTTGTACTAGCCCAGACTTAAGCTGGTTTTATAGTGCTAGCTCACTGAGATACCATGCCGCAGTGAAGCATGAATACCCCACTCACACACAGTATACTGACTCCGAGCCGACCAGTCCTTGTTGTACCCATTAATGCCGAGCGCCAGGCAGGGACCAACAAGTACCATATTTTAACGTCTTTTGGTATGACGCGGTCGGGGATCGAACCCGCGACCTTCCGCTCTCCGGGCGGACGCTCTAACCACTACACCACGGTTGAGAGAGAGAGGAATAGAACCGGGACTTCGGCGTAACCACACAACCCTACCCGTTATTTCCCCAAACTTGACGTCGTGGATTATGCAAATAACGTGCATTGATTTTGTTTCAGTGCAATCGAGATTTTAGATCTTGTGTAGGCTGATAATAAATGTATAATAGGTAAAACGGTGTGAAGAAATCATACATGTAGCTTCAATATCCCATTGTCGCCCTAAGCGACTGAATGGATATCGAGTGTAAGGTGACGATGGCCTCCTAACGCAGGCACAGTTTACCGTCCGTCTATACTATCGGTGATGTCATTAATAAGTGTCACGATAACTGCGATTGGCTAGCTATTATCATAAATCTATTTATTGACATATTGATCACTGATATCGTTTTTTGATATAATCATACTGATTTAATTATATCGATATTTCACTTGATATCATTGAAAGGATGTATCTGATGGCATCCATTTATATCAGGATGTGTCATAAATCCGCTCCACACTAAATGCACCATAAATATATTCATTATTCTTTCTTTTTTAATACCAGTAAGACAGAAATTATGTCAGTAAAATCGTATAAAGGTATAAGTGTTTCAATTGATAGGTCAACAAATATTCAGAGAAAATGCCTTGCTGTTAATGATCCCATCTGTTGTATATATGTCTGTTATATTGATTATTACGTTATGATAGGATCACGTTATCGTAACATTAGGTTGATTATTATGATAGGATTTAGGTTTCCCTTATGTATGTCTGTTATATTGATTATTATGATAGGATCACGTTATCGTAACATTAGGTTCCCCTTACTATGTATGTCTGTTATATTGATTATTATGATAGGATCACGTTATCGTAACATTAGGTTCCCCTTACTATGTATGTCTGTTATATTGATTATTATGATAGGATCACGTTATCGTAACATTAGGTTCCCCCTTACTATGTATGTCTGTTATATTGATTATTATGATAGGATCACGTTATCGTAACATTAGGTTCCCCTTACTATGTATGTCTGTTATATTGATTATTATGATAGGATCACGTTATCGTAACATTAGGTTCCCCTTACTATGTATGTCTGTTATATTGATTATTATGATAGGATCACGTTATCGTAACATTAGGTTCCCCTTACTATGTATGTCTGTTATATTGATTATTATGATAGGATCACGTTATCGTAACATTAGGTTCCCCTTACTATGTATGTCTGTTATATTGATTATTATGATAGGATCACGTTATCGTAACATTAGGTTTCCCCTTACTATGTATGTCTGTTATATTGATTATTATGATAGGATCACGTTATCGTAACATTAGGTTCCCCCCTTACTATGTATGTCTGTTATATTGATTATTATGATAGGATCACGTTATCGTAACATTAGGTTCCCCTTACTATGTATGTCTGTTATATTGATTATTATGATAGGATCACGTTATCGTAACATTAGGTTCCCCTTACTATGTATGTCTGTTATATTGATTATTATGATAGGATCATGTTATCGTAACATTATTAGGGTTCCCCTTACTATGTATGTCTGTTATATTGATTATTATGATAGGATCACGTTATCGTAACATTAGGTTCCCCTTACTATGTATGAATATGGCCAGCTATTATACACCAGCAGTTCGTTTGTTTTCAATTCCGTAAACGACATGAAACGAATGTGCAGAGCCAAAGTTAAGACTTTGAAGCGGAATGTTCACTATAAATATATGTCAACGACATACTTTTTATAATAGATTTACCCTTCTTAAACCAGCTGATAGTTACAAAACATCAAATTTATCAATTTAATTCGATTTAAAAATGGATTGCAGTCTGCATACAGATTGCAACATACGGAAGTCATCTCAAAATATTGAGCTAAACTCATGGAGTTTATAAACGTCATTTTAGGTAGAATATAATATTATGGAGATAACATTTAAAAAATGAAATTGCGATTCATTGCAGCACAAAATATTACATTATGAAATCAACGGATATACTCATTATATGATATTGATTAATATACGCCTGACACCAACCAACCAACCACATACACACACACACGTGTGTTTACGTCACAGATTCAAAAGTTTACCTGTTTGTCTTCAGCCACACCCAACCCGAAAATCCCACCCCTCATCAATTCAGTTGTTAATGCAAATTAATTATGGAAATTGAATTATTCAAGAGTTAAGTCCCTCCATATATATGTATATTCGATATCGGTGTGGTGCGGGAGACCAATTTGCTACTTTAGTACTCAGTCTTTAATCCAGTTTAAACAAAAGCGTTCGTGCGACCATGCTTCATGGTGAAAACGATTCTGTATTTTGATTGAGCGTGTGTGAAAAAAAGAGGCGTGTTTTACATATTCTTGTTCGGGGCGAGAATAAATTTGCCTGCCATATTTGGCACGGACGATTCAGCCCCGAACAATGCATAGTTAGCAGACACTCGGTTGTCTGCTGTCGGCTGTCATTCGAAGTTGGACTAACCCTGACTGCTTGAAAAGGTGACAATCAATGTTTTTCATAATTGAACTGCTATTTATGCATTTGTTAAGATGTATATCGTCAATGTCTGCTGTTTGTAAAATAAGTTGGCATGTTTCCCACAAATTAACCAAAAATCGAGTCTGGATATCTACCGCGTTGATTCCATCTGCATTGGTCGCGTATGAAGAAATTCTCGTCGCTATTCAAGAGTGTTTGTACATGATATTATAAGCAAGGTATTGTGTGAATTTGTTACCATGAACATAGTCACTCTGAGTACCGTGCATGTGCAAATTAGAGATACAGTGTTTGATTGATTCACCGCATAATCAGCAGAACACATTTTCCTCCATTCGACCTTGCAGATGATACTCGCTTGGAGTTTTTCAGTGCATGTGTTCGTCGTTAGAGGCGCATGAAAGCCTGAATGACTGGAAAAAGCCTTTCAAATAGTGTCTGTCTGTATTCACAATGACCCATTTAATTCATAAATACCACCAAAGATAAGATGTTTGACAGGTGAAGTGAGAGCCGCAAGGCGTGCTGACATTTGACGATATCTCAAATGCTATTTACCTACAGCGACCAAGCATTGCGTAAAGTAATATTTCTATTTTCGCAGCAAAAGGCAACCTTATATATATCAAATATTCTCTACAGCCGTCGATACTTAGTAATCATAGATAAATTACCAGATTCGTACAATATTATCTCCCTGCTTGGTCTGAATGTCGTCTTGATGTCAAGGTCAGATTTGTTTGTAGGAAAATATTTTTTCTCAAGGTCGTTTCCGTGCGCGTGGTGACATTGTGACTGAAACGGCATACGACAATATAAATTTTACGTGTGTTCATCAGCTGATTACCTTTAATACAATTTTTAAACCGACAACTTCTAATTGATTGATCATTTGACAGGACCAAATGGCATCAAAAGGAAATAACCAGGTAGTTATGCATATGTTATCCAACATGTCAACACGGGACAACACTTACAACGTTCAGGTCAATCGGGATTGTGTCAGTCGTGGCATGTTTGATTAACGCCGATTTATACCACCTTTGTTTGACTTCCAACTCAAATTTATGTTATATGTCAATAGATCAGTTGATGATAGCCAAACAAAATGACTGTCAGTGCATATCAAATTATCATGAAACGGCACTCAAAGGTCTAGTTTTGCAACTTTTGCTGGTACTATTTCTAAAGCCAATGTCTCAAAAAATAAAGGAAAGATTTCCGCCCGTAACCCCGTATTTTGTTTAATCATTATACATCTAAGAATATACGCCTATGTTTTTTTTTATAAACAGCCTATACCTAACCCTAAAATCTAACCCTAAATTCTAGCCCCAAACCTCAAAATAATCCTAAGGAATAGAATGCATTTCAAGCGGGGTTACGGGCGGAACTCTTGCCAAAATGAATAGTGAGTATCTGTAAATATGTATATATTCTGTCATTACAAGTCCAGAATAATAGGTTATAAGCCACATGTCAGGGTCGTTATATGTATGTTAAATGCTTTGTAGTCAATAACACATTGAGTCAGACTTTTGGTATTGCATGAAAACATCAGTGGTGAGGACTAAATGTTAGTTTTAGTGGGCTATCTTGGTTTCCTGTGGGTATATAAAAGTTGTGTGTCATAACCTAGCATATCCAAAACTGCAAGCGACCAAAACGTAATGAAATAGTATTTTTAAGAGGATGTATCCAAAGTCTCATTTTGCTCTTACTTCATCAGAACCACTACATGATAAGTTTGCAGTGGTCCTGGTGGCCAGTGAATTTTGTATTGATGGTAATGTAAATCTACAAATGTTATTTTGGACCAGTGAAGTACAGACAGAACCACTAATTACTGTCCCTCGTTGGTCCTGTAGTCTAGTGGGAAATTTTGAAGGTTTCTTTCCCTGATCCTCCACTAGATTTCAATTTCAATAGCATGAGCAAATCATAAAGCACATACAGTAATAGTGGCATTGTAATGTAAGGGTGAAACGATACATCGATGCACCAGTGTATCATGTGAAGATGACATACACATGTCTTGGTTTTAAGGATACAAGATTTGCTATTATAGGTTTGTAGCTTCTCTTTCAACAACCCTCCAGCGTTTGTTGCACTCAAAAGACTCAAATATTGAAAAACATTTTGTAATCAGCATTTCAAGTTTACTTCTAACTACAACCACTACTAGCACTTTTCTTTGCTTGAGCTTTTCCTTTTGAGCCTGCTGTAAAATATGATTTTATACCCCACCATCCCCATGCCCCAGGAAAATGACAGACCTAACCAGTTCATGCACCCTTCCGTCCTGATTACTGTTGAGTGCAGCATTGTACCTAGACTAATGTTTAGTCTCTGAATATATATATGTCATTTTGATTTTAACAAATAAACCCATTTCAATTGAAAAGGAACCCTAGGGAGACCAGAGAGATCTAGACTTGCTTCATTTACGGCTTTAGCATTGCAGGGAGTGCTGGGCTGTAGGGACAATAATATGGTTCGGGGACTGTGAGACACACTACATTGTACCTCACTCTGTCTTTTCATATTTTGTCAACTGAAATTGCTTGCAGTTGTGCAGAGTTTTGTAAAATGTCAGTATCCTGTGATGGGTGGGATTCAAACCTTCAACCTTCCAATCAAATCCACATCACCGTCAGACAAGGCAAGGTGTCATCCTTGGGATGACTCTACTACAAATTGATCATTTCCATTAATTAAGTGTTTATTTCCACAGATGGCACAACTTTTAGCTAACGATTATGTATTTTGATTGAGCGTGTGAAAAAAAAGAGGCGTGTTTTACATAACGGCTCTCATGGGTCCCACTGAGGGTATTTCTGACGATCTTGCGGGCTTGCTATGGAGATTGTACGTGCGCTTCCAACAATTTTAGGAAATGTGATTATAAATCGGTACTAGTTTCAAAACAATAATATTAGACATATATCTGCATGTAACTAATTAACTTTAATCTTTAACGTGGGGCATATTTCTCATCTCTGTGAATATTTTAGTCAGACTTTTTTTTGGTCATTCGTATATTTTCAGCGAATTCATTTAAAATTCCACTTTCGGTATGACTGCAAGGTTACACGAATGGTTCAGTTTGAGAAATATTTTACAGTGATTTTTGAGTTTCTGCTTTGGGATTTAATGTAGCTTTCATAAATTTTATTTACATATTGAATAAAACAAATCCCATTTGTGATTATCAAACCCTGTTTAGAAATATAATTGGAAATATAAGGTGAACATCTGGTAATAATGACGTCAGAATAAATATGTATCAAATACATTTTTCTCCTTCTTTTAGTTGTATCAAAAAGGTTTAATTCTTTAAAGACATAAACAGCTGTGCAATGTATGATTACTTCGGTGATATGAAGTACCATCGGAATCAAGACAAGAATAGAGTTATCGTTCCTGTTTAAAGTAGTTCTGATGTTCATGCGCCAACATGAAATCCTTCCAGAGGGGCACGAGTCGCTACATTCGTGTCCAACTCGTGTTATTCCGGGACAAGCCGAATAGCGACTGGTTATATTGTTACTCCTTGGTGTAGATGAAAAGTCACTTACTGACAACATGGCATATCACACAAGACATAAATCTTACTGAAGACGGACACCTTATTAAACGGACGTAGATGTGGGATGGATGTAGGTATGAGTGGTGAGTGGTGTATCCATCTCCCTTCGATGTAGGTATCAGGAGTGAGTGGGGTACCTATCTACCCTGGATGTAGGTGTGAGTAGTGAGTGGTGGTCTCATTAGGGTTGCTTCATGGTCTGCGGCAGGCGTCAGCATATTCACAGCCGCCGCCATGTTGAATGTACAGAGAACGTAGCTAACGGAATGTGTTGCCTCAATATTGAGCGCCATTGTGTACTTTCCACCGTAAGGGTAAGCCATGTTGTAATGGATGATGTGCTGTATTAGAAACGATACATAGGATGGTTGTGAGATTTGTGAGAGGCCTAATGGTGAATTGTTTGCAGATTTCGTGTGCCATAGTACTGTGCCCCCCTGCCATGACTACATGGGATGGCCTAACCTTCGTATTATTATCGTGAAGCGCTCATAAAATCTAGAGCACACATTGTGTAATTGTAGTAATTACTTTTTGTACATTGTAATTTCATTTGTTCCCTGCACACTTACTTGGTGTGTAAAGGCAGCACTAATTTGCACATTGTGTTGCACGTTTGATTTTGTGTTTTGCAAATAATGCAAACTGCCCAAAGAGCCGTTAATAAATTAACTTGGAAAACTGTTTTGTATTCCTTCTGGGAGGAGTGTACACATAAGATTGGATAGATAAGAAGGAGTAGTTACAATTAGACAGCAGAATCAAGAAACAAGATTGATCGAAAAGGTGCTCCAAGGGCTAAGGATACAGATTGAAATTACCTACCCTAACACAGTTAACCCTAAAGATTGTAAAGGGGGTCATTGATAGGAAAGGGGATCAAGGGCTAAGGATACAGATGGAGATACCTACCTAACCCTAACACAGCTAACCCTAAGGATTGTAAAGGGGGTGACTGATCGGAAAGGGGATCCAAGGGCTAAGGATACAGATGGAGGTACCCCACCCTAACCCTAGTACAGCTAACCCTAAGGATTGTAAAGGGGTGATTGATCGGAAAGGGGATTCAAGGGCTAAAGATACAGATGTGTCCCCGTTTACAGACATTGGAGTAATCCGGACAGCAAACATTTAGCCTCAGTAATATGCTAATGAGACACGATGGAGAGTTTGTGACATAGGAAAACAAGGTCAAGGTTTTCTATTTGCAAATTGTGTCTTGCTATGACCAAATATAAACCAGTGTTGTGTAACTTGCAGTTAGCAAAGCATTAACCAAGGTTGTTTACTTTGCAGAGTGACTGGAGCAGCTGCATCTAAGATAAAAGGAAAAACAAGACCTTTTGTGGACATATTGAATTCACAAAGGGTGCAGTGTGGCACGAGGCAGTGCTGTAATTTGCACCATTACAGATGCAGTGTGGCGGTGCTGGAGGAGATAGATGATGGTGCTTCTTGAGGGATGCAGATGTGGCATCTTGAGGGGGCAGTCATGAGGCAGTGCTGTAACCTGCACCATTACACAGGACAGACAGATGATGGTGCTTCTTGAGGATGCAGTGTGGCATGAGGCAGTGCTGTAACCTGCACCATTACACAGGACAGATAGATGATGGTGCTTCTTGAGGATGCAGTGTGGCATGAGGCAGTGCTGTAACCTGCACCATTACACAGGACAGACAGATGATGGTGCTTCTTGAGGATGCAGTGTGGTATGAGGCAGTGCTGTAACCTGCACCATTACACAGGACAGACAGGCAGGTCCTGCTGTAACCTGCACCATTACACAGGACAGACAGATAGTGCAGCCTCTAGT